TTGTAGCGAGATTGATTTCTTGGAGGAAGCAGATGGAACAACTTATGTTCTGGATTTGTAGCAATGGACTTAAATAACTGGCTACAAAGTTCGTTTCGTCTATCTTTAAGAGTTGACAGGTCGACACTGGCGAGACAGTCCTGATATGACTTGTTAGGTGATACTATAGAAAGCACTCTTTTTTGGACTCTTTCGATGTCGTCGCTGAGATAGGCGGGGAGTGCGTGATGAAAGGCGGGGGTGCAGTATTCCAGCACAGGTCTGATAGTGGAGCAATATAAAAGCGACCGATTAGAATTTAAATTTTGACTTTTCATTAATCCTTCCAGTTCAACAGAAAGTGTTCGTAACTACACTCGACACTCGAAAGTCGACACTCGAAAGTCTTTCGAGTGGAAGTCACTCGATTACACTCGCTTTTATGAATAATTTGTTATGCATGACTCGCGAGTAACGATGGTCACTCAATAATCGCACTCTCGAGTATAGAGCGAGTGGATGGTACTTTACTCGAGACCGGTACTGTACATGATACCTTGAACACTGCATAGCAAATTCAAGGTTACGTTTGGCGTCTGGCAATAACCCATAATCTCAACACAAGGTGTACCTATAACAGGGCTCACTGTATGTAATAGATGGTCTGTTCTTCTTGAGTAGCTGAACTAAATCGAGTTCTGGATCCTCGAGTTTATTTGGCTGACCAAAACATTTTGAAGGAGAAAGTTTTCCATTACGACAAAAATTCCTCCAAACTTTAGAAACCATTCCTGCAGTGACTTTGTATTTCACGCCAATTGCCCGAAAACTTCTGCCAAAATGTTCTGTAGAAACATCTTCTTCGCTTAATATGTCGTCTATCAAAACAGATTTTAGGTCTTTAGAAAGTGGTTTTCCCTGCGAAAATGTCCTGCCAAAAGAATTCATCTTGAGGTTCATTTTAAACCGATACTCTAGTAATGAACATTAGAACGGTACGTCGATACCCGCCTAAGCGAAATATCATGTGACATTTTGGGGCCTTCGATATGGTCACGTGAGTTGACAGAAATTCAAATTACGATCGATCGTTTTTAACTCGGTGTTCGCAGTTCATCGAGTTTGGTAGTATAATCTCCCAATCTCGGAAGGAAGAATATTTGATTTTGTTCATATTGAATATTTAAAATGACATGGCAAAAGGCTTATTGATAAAAACCCATCAATAATATGCATTGCCACAGAAAGCCCACGTATGCAATCGCTGATCGTCTAGTTAATGTTTTAAGCACAGCAGCAGAGTATTTGATATATTTTGTTCCCTACCAGCTACTATATTATAAAATATCATCCCTTGTAGATCCAGACATATGGAAAACCTATGTTGATACTATGTTGCACTATGTATTAGATATACTGCGACAGAAACGCATTTTGTAAGTTACAGTATTTACCCATGTATAAGCAGCTCTCGTAGATAAGCCACACTCCGAGTTTTAGGAACGTTTTTGAGGAAAAAAGACAGAAAATAAACTTTTCTCTTTTTGATCGCCACTTGCGAACACAGCTTTCTTTGATTTTAAAGTGCTTTTTCGCTGCTCGATTTCCATGATCCATGCATTTCATATGCAATTACAATCAGTTTATTTAACAGTGCACATGTATGATGATCTTGGAAACATAATTGTTAAGATTGATACTAGTAATTTAAAGAGTTGTTTTTCATTCAAAAGGTAAAAGCAAACTAGTAATCATCATCATCATCATCATTGTGCCATGCCAGATCTGGCGTTGGCTATCATATTGTGCCATGCTGCACGATCGTGGCAACCTTGCAGCAGCTCAAGTTTCTTCTTCCCGGTGATCTTCGTCAATGAATCCAAATACATCTTCCTAGGTCTACCCCTACTCCTCCTTCCATTTATCCTACCCGTGCACATAAGTCCCTCAAGGCCTTCTTTTCTTAGAACGTGGCCTAAGAAGCTCAATTGTCTCGTGTAAATATCGGCAATCAATGATCTTTTCGTTTCTGCTCTCCTTAGGACTTCTTCGTTTGTGATCTTATCATACCGGCGAACCTTCCACATACGTCGTAAGAACCACATCTCCGCTGCCATCAGTCGTTTATCCATACTCTCGCTAACAGTCCAGGTTTCGCATACATAAAGAAGGGTAGCCCAAACGTAACACTTCAGAAGCCTTATCCTTGTTTCTTTCTTCAGGGTTCGATTTATCAGAAGTTTCTCTACGGCTTTAAAGGAAGATTTCACGATTCCGATTCTTCTCTTAATTTCTGTCTCACATCTTCCATCTGCTGTTACCATACTTCCCAGGTACAAGAACTTGTCTATTTGCTTGATACTCTCGCCGTTGATGCTGATCAGACAAGGCGGTGGGGGATCTTTTTTAGAGACGCACATGTGACGCACATGTGACGCACAACTTGAGTGATATAAATCTCATCGTGCCGCCAAACTTCTAAACATAAGGATCATGCCGAAACCATTTCGTATTTCAAAAAAATATTAAAGCAGATTGTATTTATTTAATATCAGGAACAATTTCTTAGGCTTAGTTCTTGGGTATTCAAAATATTTACCCTGGATTCTTCACTTTAAGTGTTGCAAAGTCGCGTAAATGAACAATGCAAATTAGCATCACGTTACCAAAACAACTCCAATAGAAAACGATTGAAAATGCTCTGTGTTCATTGGCTCAATAACCACGCACTTTTCAGTTTGATTTATTGACTTGTGTTTCTCAGAGCTAGATTTTCGAAGAATTTCTAGTAAAACTGAGAAGTTTGGATTACAATTTCTGTTCCCGGTGTGTAAAACAAACTACTGATGTCCTGTCTGTAGTAAGTAGCACCATGAATGGTAATTTATGCAAATTAGTTTTCATCTGGCATTTTTAGAAGTCTTCTCATAGATAAGCCACAACCCCGATTTGGGAACGATTTTCTTGGGAAAAAAATGCAGCTTATACATGGGTAAATATGGTACACACTTAAAAAAATTCAAGACTCAATTGGATACCATATTTTGATGAATCGTCCGAAGCGAAGTTCACGTGTGAACATGTCTTTTCTTCTTGATTTTTTATGCATTCGAGCATTAAATCTTGAAATGGAATAGAAAATATATTAATCAGTGTCCTTGATGAGAAAGACGATGTCCGATATGGCAACAGAGCTGCAAGATTCAATCTTAACTGATCTTAAAAGCGATAATCGAACTCTCAACGCTGGGGCTGCCTGATGTTGTTTGATTTGGTTAAAATATTAATCTTGGTTTGCACATGACGTCATCAGTCGAAAAAAATTCTATAATCACAGACACACAATATTGCATGAAAGAAGTTCTCTCCGAAAGTTTAAACTTTATTTGCTGTTTATTTGTTGAGTTATCAACGTTCAAAAATATGTCATGCAATACTGTCACGCGACTTGAAACGCGACAAATAAACCTCAGAAAGCTTATTAAGTTTAAAACAAGTATAGCCTCAGCATTAAATTAAATGTTTAAATTGTTATTGTTGTAAAACTAAAGCAAAATCATTAGTTTTGACCTCAATTCAATGCTCGTGACTGTTCGCCATGTTCGTGTACTGGATTAGTACACTGTCATGGCTTTCCATACATTCCCTTGTAAAGTAAGAACGTATTCAAACGCTTATATTTTTGCTACAAAATTTCAGTTYSACTTCMAACTTBGCATARMTGYTGGKAATTATATGCTGTTCTTGGCCTTGGATATAAAATATTCATTTCGATCTTAAAACAAAACTTTTTGTAGGTTTTTCTTGACTAGTCTAAAACGCATTGAGCCGTGATAATCCAATACATTCTTACCAATTTTCCATCGCTCGTATTTCTGTTAAAAAGCATTATTTTCGCTCGAAATTTCGTAGTGATCCTTTAATTTAGATGTTTTCTTGAGAACAATAATAATATTCCGCTAATTGTACCTCTGTACCTTTGATCAGTGCAAACCAAGAATATTTACGGTGAGTATTTTATCTTTTACTTCGATTTGTAAGCAATGTTTTACTATCTAAAGCATGTTCGAAATTAGATGTAAGATATATTACAGGAGAATAGCATTGGTCATTTTCTTACAGAAATCTTGTAAGATTCTAAGAAGTAGATCTTATAAAATTCTTATAAGAATCTTATAATCACTTCATGATTCTTATAAGATCTTATAAAATCCTTACAAGATTCTTATAAGATCTTATAATTTTTGAAAAGATTCTTATAAGATCTAAAAAAATCCTTACAAGATTCTTATAAGAATCTTAAAGTCTTACAAGATTCTTGTGAGAATCTTATAAGATCTTATAAGAATCTTGTAAGAATATTACAAGATCTTATAAGATCTTATAAGATTCTTATTACTATTATTATTTATTATTAGAATATAAGATTCTTATTAAGATTCTTAATAAGAATCTTATAAGTTTCTTTGATTCTTAATAAGATTTCTACCTGGTTCTATACTATGAACTCTTAATATAGCATCACCTTCAACTTAACCCTCTGGCGACTGCCCTATAGAATATCGTTCGAATTCGAATGACGCGTCTAAAATTCATAAGTTACCAAAATAGTAAACTATAGCCCTGAAATTATTAGTGCGAACTCACTAGTAAATATTGTCGATCTTAAAGTTCAAAGAATTTCCCAACGAGGTCAAAAAAGGTACAAAACAGTACTCTGCTGACAAGTAAATGCCAAAATTTACGTTTCGAGGACTACAGGAAACAGTAATTTCCAGCTCAATTTTTAGCGTCAATGTTTTGTAGCAAAAAGTCCACTTCACTTGCAAACCCCTTTGATAGCACGTCGTCATTTTGCCGTTTTTATTCTGTCAAAGTCACTGCAGACCTCTCAACAGCGCTCTTTTGAGCACCCAATACAATAAACTCCTATACACGACCGAAATGCATCATGAATCTTGCAGCATTTTTCTCTCAAGAAATATTTTATAAGTGTGAGCTCCCTCGCACCTACAGGCAAAATATCAGTCCAATTGCATTCTTTGGTTGTCAAATATTGCAAAAATTACCTTGGTATGTCGGAAAATCTGCCACAGATGGACCAGGAAAGCGATCTTACAATGATGTCTCCAGTTCAAAACAAACCATGACTTGGAGCCATTGTCGAAAAATCGCTTTCCACCTTTGATTTCTTCCAGAAGAGTGTCTCTGCCGACTAGTCAAGCTTAATGATGCAAGCCTAGGGGCTCCTGTGGCAGCAAAAAGCTCAAAAAAACACTTATAAACGGTTTTTAACCCTATTCAGACTGGCAGCAAAAAGCTCAAAAAAACACTTATAAACGGTTTTTAACCCTATTCAGACTGGGGGGGTGGGAAACTTTCTGACTTTTCCTAACATTTATCTGGGCAGATTTTGATATAAGTGTTTTGTTGATAACGTCATCCATGTCGCCATGGCAACCAGTTTTTGACACATAGGTTTTCAAAAATGTAAAATAATCAGATGATATTGCAGCATTCTCTATGGAATTGTAGGCAATTTATTAAAATGAATTATAAATCGTTAAAATKRTRAAAATGACGTCAYTWTGACGTCACATTTGGTTCCCACGGGTCAAGACTGGGTGTGGTGGTTCGTTTTACGTGGGCGACCATTGTGTGAAACTTTCATGCTCATAGACGTACTGGTTCCGAAGATATTGAGGGGTGGCCGAATGAGCCCCCCCCCAGTCACAGATTGAAAAAAAAAAGCCCAGTCTGAATAGGGTTAAGGTAAATTTATGTTTAACCATTCAATGAACAAACAATCCGACCAAAATTTACAATAAGTTGCATAAATCAACGCTCACTAGGAAATTCAAATTCGCAATAGTTTGATTGACAACACCTTATATGGAAGTTAAATATTCCATCATCTTTTTGTAGTCGAAAATGCTCCAAAATCAACAAATATTTAAACACCAGTCGTCAAAGGGTTAATTCCAAAAATGAGGGTCACGTGATCAGTGTTTTTTCGCACGATTTGTTAAAATTTGTTAAAATTTCGGTTGGGGCTAACATATGATTAGGGTTAGGACTTTTGTCTTAGGGTTAGGTTTGAGATTTGACTTAGGGTTAGACTTGTCCATCATCTTTTTATAGTCGAAAATGCTCCAAAATCAACAAATAAACACCCGTCGTCAAAGGGTTAAACTAAGTTATCCTTTTTTTCTCACCATAGATCAGTATAATAATTGAGAACCAAACGCTTTGCTATGGAAGCCTTAAATTATTTTCTATTTATTTATCATTTCTTTCTGAAGGAAAATTGTGATTTAGTAATGAATATCAGTGAACTCTGACTGTGAGCATCAATAGTGAAAATTTACAGATTAGAAAGCAATGTCTTCTGTGCTCTTTCAAAGAAGTCTGACCTTAAGAAAATGAAAGCTTGCACAATTATCCAATATCCTGTCAAAAAAATTAG